GTGCAGGGCATTGTGCTGCCAGCTATGTGCCAGCTTTGTCTAAAGGCAGCAGGGTCTGCACTGCAGCAGACTGGGGCAAGGAAAGCCTTAAAAAACTGTGCTACTGTTGAGGTGCAGTTGTGTTTGGAGTGCAGGTGCCTCGGGCTGGTTGGTACAATTCCCAAAGCAGTGCCTGCTGCTTGGTCCTGTTTCCTAAACGTGGTACTGTCCATGTTGCTCCTGCACTGCAGTCCTGGGCCTGAACGTGGATATGAAAGTTGTTTCTCAAATGAAAACAAAAACAGTTTGGTATTTAAGTGGTATTCAATACACGCACTTAAAATTCTGTGGAAAAGAGGAAAAATGAGTAACAGTCACATCTTGGTTAAGCTTTGTGAAGGGAGAAGAGATTAAGAAATTGCACATCCTCTGCTTTTAGAGAGCAGCTGCTGGCTGGGTGCCAAATACACTCTGCAATTTAACTTAATCAGGAAGTTTTTTACATACATACACACATGTGCATATGCACACTGCTGTTGCTTGATTGTCTTTTCCATAGCTCCTGCTTGGTTCAAGAAGTGGGAGTACTCTGCAGAATTTCTTTGCTGCCCTCTGTTGCTACATACAACTGAAGAACTTAACTGCATTGGAAGCATGTGATCTTAGTATACAAATGAGGTATCCTGAATTATCTGAATATAGTATCAAGTAAAAAAAATAAAGGGGAATATTAAATACCAAAGACAGATTATTAGTTAAAATATTAGCCCTAACAATAACTTAAGGTTTCACAGATGCCCATTCACTGCCCCCAAAAGGCAGCAGTGTATGACTGTTGTGCTTCCAGGCTCCTGCTGCAGCTGGCACTCAGTAGGTCAGCTTTGAGGCTCTGCTGTTGTAGCACGGTCTCTCAGTCAAAGCTGATGCAGCATTTCTGAAGGGAGAGCTGTTGCTTTTCACAAGAACCAACTCCAGCTCTTGGAAGTCCTGCAGCCTGGCAACATCCTTGTCCTTCCAAAGACAGAACAGCATTGCCCCTCAACATACCTGGCCATACTTGGTACGCACTTACAGTAGCTAAAGAAAGTGAAAACTAAAATTGGGGAAGTTCAGATGCAGTGATAGGAATACGTGATGGACAAAAAGCAGCACTATCAGTACACGCTCTCAAAACATGGTTTTGTTCACTTGAACCTTGTTATCATTTGATTGTGTTTATGTAACTGAACTGAGAGTTGGGACCAAACACATTTCCTTTACAAACTACAGAACTTTTGGACGATAAGAAATGCTTGTTTGTTAAAGACTTACCTATAAATTATGCAAATACCAATTTCTGGTATTTCTTCCCCTAGTATTTTTCTCCTTAAACAAGCTAATACTGAAGCCCTATACAGCAACCATGTTAGTAGTACACTAATGTACTCTGATATATTAAAAAAAAAAATAGATCTAACATTTCATGTGCTTGAGGAGCTGAAATAATGGCTCTTTGACAAGAGTATTTTAAGTGAGGTGCAGGGCCAGTCCATTGTCCTCTCAAGTTTGTGAGCTTAAGTCGGTTTCGTTTTTTAACATGTCACACTTTGCTGATTACTTACAGAAATATCTTCTCTGGTGCCTGCAAAGCACACGGTCAAATCATCACCCACCCCACTTCCTACCTTTCTCAGCACTGTGTTTGGTAGCTTCCTGATCCTCTCTACGTGCTGAGGATTAACGCCCAGCTCACAGCAGCTCACTCTGAGCAGATCTTGGTACGTCAGCTCCTGTCTGTCCAGTTCAATTTCAATGAAGTCGTCGTCTCTGAGGTTCTGCACTCTCACCTTAAGCACAAGTTCTGATTTAAAACAACAAAAACTGATTAATTATTTCCCTAGCAACTGAAGAAAACCAAACTACAATATTACAATTATCTTTTGAGCTCAGGTTGTACAATGCAGTGTCTGTTACCTCACTGTGCAATGAAGGGAAGCGTTCATTCAGAGCAGCTGCAGCTGAAGGGCGCACGCTGACAGTGCTGCCACCAAACTACCCGTGCTCTGTTCTGTGCTACGTCATATTTTGCAAAATTTGAGCTTTTCTGTTGCTTAGTCATAACGACTGATATTTTCCAGGAGTAGAGGCATAGAGTGTGCAAAGCATCACTGTGTTTAAGATACAGTACAGCAGTTATTCTTTCTTACGAGAGCAGGAAGAAAAAAAACTTCTGTGTATTATCTGTGGATTTGTGGCCAAAGAAATCAACATCCCCACCTCTGGTCAACATTGTGAAACTGGAACGAATCCTTAACTTCACTAGTAACAAAAATGTGGAACAGTGCACCAGAAGGATGAAAATTCCCCTTTGTTACCTTGCACGTTGTATGGGAAAGTTCCAGTAAAGAAGAAGGGCTGAAATGCAGGCGCAGGCCCAGGCGGTGGGCGGCCGCTCAGCGGCACAGCCTGGCTGGGTGCTGCCGGCACAGACAGAGCAGAGCTGTGTGCTGGGGGCTGGCAGGAGCTGCTCTGTAGCCCCAGCTCTGTGCATTCTGCAGCTGAGGGCACAGCCGGCGGGATGGGCAGCTGTGCTGCAGCAGGAAGGTTGTCCTCACTGGAGCACGGTGTGGATGCACACACGCTTTCAACCTGAGCTGCTGAGGAACAAGGACTGATTTCGCTCTGGGAAGCTGGAGAGATGGAAGTGCTTTCATTCGGAGATTCTGCTGAGCTGTGCGGGGGGCTTTCATCTGGACAGCTGTGAGGGAATGGCGGGGCGGCCGGACAGCTGGCAGCAGCTGGGGGGGTCACAGCACTCACTGCTTGACAGTCCTTTTCTTCTTCTGTGACTGAAGTTCAGCAATGGGGCACAGGGGATAAAGAGAGAAAAGCCACTGTGTTACCAAATGCATCTCCCTCATTTTGAATAGCTTTCATATTAAAGATACACCACAGTGCAAGGTAAACAATACAAGGATAATAATTATCGTAAGGGTGCAACATCAGGAAGACAAGTGGCTATGAAATGAAAGAAAATCAGGACAAACACACACAAATATCTCTGAGATGTACTATTTAAAACAAAGTGGGAGAAGAAAAGCCATTGAAAAACGACATTTCTAGAAGTGCAGTTCCTGTTACTCCAGAGCTGACCAGTGCTATTTCGCTATATCCCATTTTGCAATGCTTTTAATGCAGCACTGTAAATGGTTTATTACAGCCCACACCAGGCTGTTAACCGCGCATCTCCGGTGAGGGGATGCAGCTCCGGGCCTCGTCCCGCCCCGCAGCCCTGCAGGAAGCCGAAGGAGGAGTTGGGAACGCGGCGCACAGCGAAACCATCGCGCAGGAGGCGGCCACGGAAATCGGATGCAGCCCGACCCAGAGCCGCGCGGACCCACCGAGCGGGACGAAGCCCTGCAGACCGAGAAGACGGGGCGGTACCTCCCAGAATCCTGCGGATGTGCGGTTTGGCCGTCAGCTGCTCGGCCAGCTGCCCCGCGCCCGTGGGGATGCGGCGGTCGGCGCCCGCGTCCAGCAGCAGCGCCACCACCGGCGCGTGGCTCCGCTTGCAGGCCCAGTGCAGGCAGGTCCTGCGGAGGGACGCGGCGCCGTCAGAGCCCGCGGGGCGCAGCGCACACGGCGCGGGTTCCCGGCACGGCTCGAGCCGCGGGCCGGGCGGCCCGGAAAGGTCCCTTCGGCTCCGCTCCTACGGTTCTAAGAACCCCCAGAGCCGCGATGCTCTCCGAGCCGCGCTTTGCCCCTCCGCTGTTCTCCAGCGCAGTGGCAGCGGGAGGAAGGGCGGCTCGGCATCTCGAAGCCTCCGAGCTCAGCGTTTCTTTCCGTGTCACACCGGGATGCGGAGGAACCGCTCCTCGGGTACAGCGCGGCGGAACCCCGCGCGGCCGCGGCCCATCCCGCAGCACAGCACAGCACAACATAGCACAGCCCATCCCGCAGCACAGCACAGCCCGTCCCGCAGCACAGCACAACCCGCAATACAGCACAGCCCATCCCGCCGCGGGCCCCGCGCCGCCGCTCACCAGCCGTCGATCTCGTTGCGGGAGTTGATGTCCGCCCCCGCCGCCAGCAGCCGCCGCACCTCCTCGGCGTCCCCGAGCGCCGCCGCCTCCCGCAGCCGCTCCTGCAGCTCCTCCGGGCCGCCGCTCATCGCCTCTCCCGGGCGCGGATCTCCCCCGGCGCCGCCGCCGCACCCGCGGACCCCGTCACGGATACGCGGCGTTACGCGGGGCCGGGTGGCCGCCTCCGCTCCGCTCCGCTCAGCGCCGCTCCGCCGGGCCCCCGCCGCCCCCAGCCCGGCCCCGCGCCGCCGCCGCCATTTTGTGCGCGGTGCCGCGCGTCGTCCTCCGGCCGCGCCGTCCCGTTACCGCCGCCCGGGAGGATCGGGGCCGGCCGGGACGCGGCGGCGCGTTGCCCCGCGGGCAGCTCCCGCTCCTTCCCGGCCCATCGCTCGGGGCCGGCACCGCGGCGCGGCAGCTCCGAGCGACCCCTACGCGCGAATCCATGCGGCGCGGCGGCTCGCCGCTAGGGGGCAGTGCGGCACCGCCGGGCTGCGCTCCCCGCTCCGGCCCCGCGCCGCTCGCACCCCGCGGACCGCCAGGCTCTGCGCGGCACCGACCGCGCGGTTACGCAACGCGGCTCTGCCCGCAGTCATAAGATTTCCTCCCGCGAGAAAGGCCGCAGAAGAGGATTAGGACTCGGCGCTCCCGGCTGCCGCCTTTGCCCTTCCTGCTCCGCGTCTCGGCCCAGCCTCGCCCTCATCCCGCTTCTTGCCGCTGGCACACACGCCCCGCACCCGAGCGAAGCCGAGAGCTCGCCCTTTCCTCCCTCCTTTCCCCTCTGTCAGCCGACAGCCCGCCATCCCAACCCGTGTCCGCACACTGAGCGGCAGCCGTTGGCCACCACCTGAGGACACAGCTGGGATCCGCACTCTGTGCTGCTGGCTCAGCTGCCAAAAGACACCATTCAGTCGGCTTCCTGAACATCCCTCTGAACACCCTTGGCCTTCAGCAGCACGCCGAGCCCCTGCTCTGAGCCACAGCTGGAGCACAGGAGGAGCCCAAGGCAGGGATAGCTGGTTTCTGCTGGGGCTCACAGGTGCTCGCTCGCTGCGTTCACCCCCGTTTGGGTATCAGTGGAACACAGCAGCACCAAGCAGAGCTGAGATGTGAGGCAGTTTGACAGCCTGCAGCTCACAGCAGCCGCGAGGGACCCGTCCACATCCTTGAGCCATCCTTTGTCCTCAGGAGTTTCCTGGATTTAATTGGCTAACTTAATAGCTGTCTTTTTGCACACTACTGGCTGGGGCTGAGCCTCTGCAAGCGTTCTTTTCTCCTTTTTTGGTGAAACCATCAGGTTTGAGCTCCTTTTTTCTTATTTTAAAGTTTGTGAAGTCTTTTGCTCCTTCTGCATTTCAAGTTTAATTGCCCAGCTCTTTTAACCAACCTCTCAGCCATTTAATGTTATTACTAAGCACTGTTTTAAGGGTTTAACCCCCAGTTCCTTAATGAGTATTGATAGAGCTGTATTACTGCATTTGAAACACCCAATTCCTACCCAAAAAACATCTCGGAGGACTTTCACCAGCCCTGTACTGGCAGTAGGGTACTGAAAAACGTATAGGTACACTTTGGGCTTATCCCTACACTTAAAGCACAGCTGCACACACAGCTATAAAGCCACAGAGCACTAAGGGGAAGGCAGATGGCAGGGCTGGTTGGGAATGAAGGTGAAATGAATTAAAAGCCAAGCCCAATACTCACACTGACTGAGATAACTCAGTGCCTTTCTTTTGCCCTAACCTCACAGCTCCTCTGACCGAGTTGCCGAGTAGGAATTGCTGCACAGATGGTGGTACAAAGCGCTGGGAATGAGGGCAGCTCTCATATTTTTCCAGCATGTTCTCCTCTTCCCTTCATTTTTGCTTGATCTGCTCAGCCTGACCAATCCCTTCAAAAATTATGCAGATTATATATTTTTTTCAGTTGTTAATTTGACACTGTTCCTATCTGCAGGGCGAACAGATCACCTCCGAACAAACAGAACTGGAACCTGAGGGGGGTGGTACATCAGCTCAGGGACTTGTGGTTAAGAAGTCTGGTAGATTCTGATAACAACTGGAAATTGTTCAGTGGATTAGTGGCTAAAGCCAGCTTGGCTTGGAGCAGTGACAAGCCCGAGCTGCAGCGTGGATCCAGACTTCTGCCCTGGGGTTGGGCCCAAAGCCCCTCTGAGCTGAGCGGTGTCCAACCCAGAAAGCCAAGCAGCTGAGGGGATCCCTGGCTTTTCTCTGGACATTCTGCTGCATTCCTCCCTGCCCAGGCCTGGAGACCCTTCCCTCGCTCTCCCAGGCCATGGCAGTGGCCTCTCGGGGCACACGAGGCTCCTGTTCAGTGTCCTGCCTGTGCGCTTGGAGCCAAGATGTTTCCGTGGGCCTGCTGCAAGTTCAGCTCCTGACGGCTTGCGTAGGAAATCCACATGCTGTCAGCAAGACCCTGGAGATAGCTCACCTGCATTTACAGACAACACTAAGGACTTTGCTGAGGCAAGGCCTACACCTGTTCCTGTGGGGCTGTGGTTCTTTCAGGAGATCCTGCCCTAGGCAGAAGACCAGAGCAAGGCCTAGATTCCCCTTCAGCTGTCTTTTAGCCATCACAGGAAGCCGCAGATGCGAGTTATAACCAGTGGCACTCAGGAGCTCTGCCCTGCGCACTCCTCACAGGGCTGAGGTGCAGCCAGCTGAAGCTACGCCTCAATTAGGAGCTCTCCATTGACTTGGATGGGCTTTCTACCAGACGCTATTCAATTCCACAGAGTAATTAGCAAAGCTGTAACTAAAGAGGTCTCCATGGAGATTGACAGCATCACCTCTCAGCTGGTACATTCTCTGCCTCCTATTCTAAATTTGTTCTTGCTGTCTTCCTGGCTCTAATCCACAAGGTTTGCTAAATCTTCCAAGGTTTGTGATACATCAAAGCAGCGGAGAGAAGGGCAAAGGCAACGGGGAGGGAGCAGAGAAGGAAATAACCCGGTGCTACAAGGAAAAGAACTGAAACTGTTCAGACACACAGTCAGAGTTTTGAGAATGGGATTAGGCAGAACAGCACCTCTGCCTGCCTGTCACTCGCAAATTCTTGCTAATACTTTAGGAGCTTATTGGGGGTCAGCACCAAACACCCAAACAGACTAATCTGTATTATAGACGCATAATCAAAGTCACAAGGTTTTACATAATATATATTGGTGACACAAGAAGTGTTTGTTCGCATAATTTTGTCATCAAGATTAGCAGCCATGAAAGCCCCTACTGTGCACTAACCTGGTTTTCTATGGCCACCCCACTGGTATGCAGCGATTCCTCAAAGAAATCAGAAGGCGCTGAGAAAGTGCAAACCAAGGATGTACTCTGAAGCAGCAGCATGAGTAGATGGCAGAGCAAGGAGTGGGTTCCAGGTGGATAATAATTCCATGTCAACAAATCTGATCACTTTAAAAATAACTTTATGAAGTTCAAAAGCGTATGGAAAGTCTGGTTTTTTGACTGCACACACAGAGCTGCTTGTAAGCACAGAGCTGCAGTCACAGCTCCAGCCGTGGGTAGCAGAGGTGATGTGAAGATTTTGCAGGCACACAGGTCAGCTCATTGTCATGCCTGAGGCAGAGCAGAGCAGAGCAAAGGTCCTGTGAGGGTGCCCCACATCCTCCCATCCCACTCCAGGCAGCCTGGCCAGAGTTCACCCCTCTGAACTGAAGCGCCCCACAAGGAATCCCATTGCCCCAAGTGTCCCCACAACCAGAGCTGTGCCAGCAGGACACCTGCAGTACAAACCAGCACTCAGGGCTGAGTTGCCCTCTGGGTTTGCAGCAGTCCACACATTGCTCCCATGTGAAGCTGAACTCGCTCCTGAAAGCTGCTTTGTGGAGCAGAGCTCTGAACTGCCTTCAAGTTAAAGAAAAACAGAAAAACCAAGCACTGGGTGGGACTGGCTACAAACTCACCCCACTCTGCTTTAAAGTCAGGAGAATATTCACTGTCCTCTTCCATCAGAGAAAAAAACAAAAACCAGGTCCTCATTACAGAACACGTTTGAAACATTTGCCTCTGATGATGCTGCAGTTCCTTTGTACCTCACGACTCACAGAAGGCCTGCTGTGTTCACCAGTAAAACACAGCCCCAGCAATTGGTTACAATTGGTTTGATAGCACAGTGAGCACAACACGCCCAGGGAGACAGGAACGATTAAACCACGCGGATCTCTGAAACGTCACCTGCAGTTGCTGTGCCATCACATCAGGGCTGCTTATCTCCAGCCCTGCCAGCAAACAGCAAACGCTGCAGCTCATCAGGTCCCGCTGCGCTGCAGGTGGACTCCTCATGCTGCACACCGGGAAGGATTAAAAGGAGAATGTGCACTGAATAAGCTGAAATCAGAATGAACAGCAATGAAAAAAAGCCACGAAATACAGACAAACATCCTGGCAGCAGGGCAGGCAGGAGTCCCACACATGAAGACCCGTGGAAGCTGAGCATCACAGCTTGGCAGGCAGCACCTGCCAGCTGCCTGTGCGCTCAGATCCATGCCCTGTTTGTACCATTGTCTGCATTTGGTCACCGTTGGGTGTTTCCAGTAGTGGTGCCAGTGGCCCAAAGCAAATGTAGGAGCTGCAGCTGGCGGCCCTTACCCAGGTTTGGGCTCCGCAGGGCACAGCATGTCATGGAGCTGATGATGAAGGAGCACACAGAGCACTGCAAGCTGAGCAGCTCAGTATTGAGGGCTGCTAAGATGCCCAGCTCTGGGTGTGCTGCTGCTCCAGGCACAGCCTGCACTGCAAGTGAGACCCGGGAGTGGGGGTGTGCAGCCAGGCAGAACGAAGGCAAGAACTCTGCAGCTAGGATGATTTTTGTCCTAATTTAGATTTAAATTCCAAAAAGACAAAATTGACTATGAGGATTTCATGGTATTTGCAGAAATAGAAATAGTTCCATTCTGTGAACATTAGTTACTGTTTATAGCTGAGTTTTGGATACCAAACCCTCGGAGAAGCTCTGGCACTTCCAGGTTATCCATAGAGGCCCCCAGCTGCTGCAGGTTGAGGGGTTTGGTGAAACCTCTGCTCTGCTGCAGCTGACTTTGCAACGAAGCACAGAGACAGGTGAATCTGCAGCAGTTTTATTTTACCTTACAATATTGCAGCTCAGACCTCCTTCACTGAAGGGTCTGTAAACTTCCTAAAAGGAGCAGTTCAGAGTGGTGACGAGATACTGCCTGCACATGG